GAACTATAAGCTTCCTTAAATTTCATCTGTGTTCTACCTCAAAAACCAAATAAACAGAAAATATACTTGAGACATTAAATTACAATTTTTACACCAGAAAAGAAACAAGAAAACTGATACACATTTCCTACATCAATTCTCAGAAAACATAAAAAGTAGTATTTCCAATTTTAAAAACATGCTATCAAAGCTGCAAGTAAGAAACAGACAAAAGCAACAAAAAATCCAAGCAGAATACTCGATAGAGGAACCCAACTCAGAACTGACTGCATATCCTCCTTTTTTGAGTTACAACAATGTAATCAATTTAGTATAAAGCTTGTTCAATTTATAAATTCCATACATATTCCTTAATCTTCAATAAAAATCACAAAAAGTTTTGCTTTAACCAAAATCACGGAACACTATTTGATAAAATTAATAATCTTTATGTGAAGCTAAATTTATCCTTACAATCAATGTTAGGCAAGCCTAATCCTGCTCCCTGATCATGAATAAGAAGGTCCAGGTAAGAAATGACAAAGTTAGGTTCAACTACAAAATAATCTACAATTTTTGTTGAACTAAATTTCATGTTTTAAATCAATTCAATGAAAATAAATAATCAGCTTTGCCCTTGAGTCATTCACATAACCATCCTATGGTTAAATAATGTGTGGTTATTAAAAATAATCTTTCTACTAAATCTACTCTTATTGTACGGTTATTAGAAATAAATCTTTCTACTAGATCTACTCTTTTTAAAAGTTAAATACTATACCACATTTTGAATACTTTACCATATTGAAAATACATGCTGGTGGCTCATGTGTGTAATCCCAGCTTAAGGGAGGCGAGGTGGGGGGATCACTTGAGGCCAGGAGTTTGAGACCAGCTTGGCCAACATGAGAAAACCCCGTCTTTACTAAAAGTACAAAAATTAACTGGGCATAGTGGTGCACATCTGTAATCCCAGCTACTCTGGATGCTGAGGCACGAGAATAGCTTCAACCTGGGAGACAGAGGTTACAGTGACCCAAGATCGCATCACTGTACTCCAGCATGGTTGTAATAGAGTGAGACTGTCGCAAAAATAAATAAATAAAATAAATCAGAGGAACTGGATGTTTATCCTATATCTGATGGTAACTAGCTATATAAACAAAAGAAAAGTTATGAAATTTGTATGTGTCTCAGGTACTGTAACAGTAAAATTAAGGTAACAATGTCTGGCTTGTAATCCTTGAGATTAAGAGAGGGGGAGAAAATGTTGTGAAATACATTAAAAAACTTTTAAGTACAATACATTATATAAATAAGGTGTTTTCATTCATGTCTTAAAAGGTCAAAGGTGGAAAGACCCTTTGAAGTAATTCTATTCAATTCTAACTCACATTAATAAAGAAATAAACTCTTTATCTAGAAAGAAACAGTGACTCATTCTAGCAAACCAGTAGCAACTCACCGGCAAAGTTGTAAACAGATTCCAGTCCAGAATTTCTAACACTCCCTAAGTATCTTTTTACTTGAGAGTTGGCTGGACATGTCATTGGGCATGCAGCTAAAGGACATTTTATTTAACTTTCTTAAATTTTTCAACACCTTCAAGTAATGGTAAACATCATAGGACACTGACAAATATGAGCTAGGAATCATGGGCCAAAGGGTTCAATTGTACCAAATAACTTACACTACCATTTATTTCATTTAGCATCAATATAGAGCCTAGAAACATTAAATTCTACCCTACTTTAAAATTAGTGAGGAAGATGATTTCCACAAAAAGCTGAAAACCAACAAAAGCCAATTAAAAAATACTTCCAGTTAAAAGGTTTATGCTTTCCTGACCTTTAGAAAACACTTCACATGAAGACTATCTTATTCTCCTTGCTTCAAAATTCAATTCATTGAAACTGAACAAACACCCACTAAGTATCTATTCTGTGCTAAATTCAAATTGACAATAATTTTTTTTTTTTCTTGAGACAGGGTCTCGCTCTGGAGTCCATGGTGCTGTGATCTCACCTAGACTGTAGTCTGTGGTGTTGCAAACTCAGCTCACTGCAACTTCTGCCTCCTGGGCTCAAGTGATCTTCCCACCTCAACCTCCTGAGGAGCTGGGACTACAGGTGCATGCTATGAGAGCCGGCTCATTTTTAAAGTTTATTTATTTTTAATTTTTTTGTAGAGATGAGGTCTCACTATATTGCTCAGGCTGGTCTCAAACTCCTGGACTCAGGCAATCCTCCCACCTCAGCCTCCCAAAGTGCTGAGATTACAGGCATGAGCCACTGTGTCTGGCCAAATAAAACATTTTAAGTGAAAAAAAATTCTCAGAAAAAAAACTTCCATTTATAAAACAGCTAAGTTAAAAATACTTCTATTAAATCAAATTCAAGTCTCAGGATTTAATTTTCAAAAACTCACAAAACTCAGTATGATCTAATTTTTGTTTTCATCTTGTTTTACTACTTTTACTAAAATGTAACATCACATTCAGTAATTCAGAATATCATAGACAAAAAAAATTAAGTTTTTTCAAAAAGTTACATAAAGATCAGAATTCAGTTCTGCTTATAGTTGCCTCACTTGGCCTTCAAAAGCTTAATAATGGTATTTAGATTCTCTTTGGTTTCATTATTAGGATAAGGAAAAAATATGACTACATTTAATAAAATTACAAACAACTTCACAGTGAGAAATGTTCATTTGAACATATAATTTACAATTAATAATGAAAAAGCAACTCCATTATAGTATAGCTTTCAAAATCAGATAAACTGGCTTTTAAAATTCTTTCCATTATTTTTACAGGGTGATTACCAAAACTTTGCATTAGAATACACACACACACACACACACACACACACACACACACNACACACACACACACACACACACACACACACACACGCACACGCACACACAGAGACACACAGACACACACACACACACACACACGAGAGAGAGAGACAGAGAGAGAGAGAGAGAGAGAGAGAGAGAGAGAGAGAGAGGCAGGAGGAAGGAGTTGGGGAGGTAGAGAGAAAAGGAGGGAGAGAGGGAAGAAAGGAAGTAAAAGAAAGGAGGAAAGAAAGAAAGTCCGAGGGTGGTGGCTCACACCTGTAATACCAGCACTTTGGGAGGCCTAGGCAGGTGGACCAGCCTGGCCAACATGGAGAAACACAGTCTCTACTAAAAATACAAAAATTAGTCAGGTATGGTATGTTGCCAGATGCCTGTAATCACAGCTACTCCGAAGGCTGAGACAGGGGAATTGCTTGAACCTGGGAGGCAGAGGTTGTAGTAAGCAGAGATCATGCCACTGCACTCTATAAGAGTCAGAGAGACTGTTGGGGGGTGGGGAAGAAAGGAAGGGAAAGGGAGGGGTGGGAGGGGGAGAGGGTAAGGAAAGGGGAGAAAGGAAGGATAGGGAAAGGGGGAGAAGAGGGAAAAGGGAGGAAGGAAAGGAAAAAATAAAGGAAGGAATTCTCATTATAGAACATTCAATGTAAAACCGGAAGTTCCCATTTCTTATTCATAATTTTTCTACCTAGAACAACAGAAAACAAATACTATTCTTTCTCATATATGAAAGTCACTCAAATATCTGAAGAAAACTCCCTATCTTTAAACTTACCTTCTCCAAAATAAGACTCACCAATTTCTTCAACCACATCTCTCACTCTCTGGACTATTGAGGACTTTTATCATTCCCTCTACAGGAAACAATATTAAGTCTATTAAGTGCCTCCCACTTAATACATGGCACTTAAAATTAAGTTTTAATCTCAGTAACAGTGTACATGTGGCTTATTAATCTACTAGTCAATAACAGCTTTGTAAGTATAACAAGTCTTCCAACAACCATATTACAGCACTTCCCAAATGCCTATTTATGGACTGACACTAATGCTTGTTGAATTTTTCAGTGATGCAGAGTAAATGAGAAAATACCAGTGTAGTAATTTTTTCATCAACTTAAAGCTATTCAAGTTAAATTACTCTATCACTCTGAGTTTAAGTCCTTCCTAAATAATGAGAGTCACTTATAAAATAAAATAGTAATGGAAGATGGTAGTTGTCTTTTCAAAAGTCCTTATATGGCAAAATTTTTACATTTCACAATCCTTTTCAAAAATGTTGGTCTAGTGTCCTAAAATACTCAGGTAAAGAGGGTCATCTGATCTAGCTTCTGATATCATCTAGGTAGCCAACCACTTAGAATAATTTAAAGAATTTGCAACAACTAATCACGTGCTCCACTAACACTAATTTCTAAGACTTCTTAGTTTCCCATGCCCATTTCCCACTTACCTTTATGATCGTAAATCACACTCTAACGCAGTCAATCAGACTACATCAAATTAAGAGTGGACTGTGATGGCAGAAACTTACCACCACTCTTTGCAGTTTAGGTTATTTGCCAACTTTTGAACTACAAATGACACCATCTATGACAGGAGACAGCAAATTATGGCCCACAGGCCAAATCCAGCTCACCGTCTTTGTATAAATAAACTTTTATTAGAAAACATTCACATTCATTTGATTACACATTGTCTATGGCGGGTTTTGTGCTACAATTGCCAAGGAAAATAGGACAGAAGCTATATGGCCTGTGAAGTCCAAAATATTTACTATCTGGTCTTTTACAGAAACGTTTACCAACCCGTAATCTCAGGGAATAAACTATGTTTGGAATAAATATACCAAAGCAATATTTAAGATCTGTAACAATAACCATTAACTAGCTCAGAACACCAACCATCCAAATGGGAACATCCAAATACAAATACTGGTGTATCTGAATAGTTCTTTATCCTATTCTGTATGAAGATTTATTGCCCACCCAAGACAGAGCACTTACCTGCTCAATGAGCTAATCTTTAACATACATTTCTCAAGGATTCACTAGCAGAATAGTGAAGAACCCATGAATATGCTGCTCTGTGCAATCTAATGTAAAAAAAAGTTGCTACAAAACACTCAGAAGTATATAATAAGCAGCAACTGTATAGAGCTACATAAGAATTTCCTTTATATTTTAGATTCCAAATACAAAACTTTTAAAGGCACTTAAAGTAGAAAAGCTTAAGTTCAACATTTTAGGTAATATTAACTGCATTAAATAATGCAAACTAATTTCCTTTTATGTTAAATAACAAGACTTTCATTTCCATGTATGTGAAGTTGAAATCAAAAGATAATCTCTCTAATCTACATTATTCATGTAGCTATTAAAAATAAATGACACTAGAACTTCTAAAAAACAAAGTCACAATATCAAAGTGCTTTGAAACTAGAGAGCACTTAAGAGATCCCCTCCACATTTTACAAATGAGAAAGTTTCTATATGACATGGAACACTTAAGTTCAGAGAACTACTCAGTGGCAGAAACAGAACTAGAACCCAACACTCAACCACCAGTTTGGAAATTTTTCTACTTCATGACCAGGTATGTTCATGTTCTAGGAAAGGGTAGAGTGATATCAAAATATTCTGCAGGTCTGTTTGTTTGTTTAGAGGGTTTTTTGAGGCTTACTACATTGCCCAGGCTGGTCTCAAGCTGCTGGGTTCAAGTGATCCTCCTGCCTCAGCACTCCAAGTAGCTGGGATTACAGATGCATACCACCATGTCCAGCTTCTAGGGTTTTATAAGTGCTAGAAACATATTTGTACGACAATCCACCCAACTTAGGCAACCCTCTTGTCTTTTTAAAAATCAACCATAAAATTATAGAAAGACAAAAATGATTACTTGTAAAGCAGCTCTTATTAGAATGATCAAATAAACAATTGATTATGTTATTATGCTAACAAATTGTCAAAGAGTCAAAAAACTGATATTGGTGAAGGGGCAGTAGGACGGGTGCTCATACACTGTTAGTTTAGCACAATCGTTCTGAAGGTTGGAAATATTATAAAGAGCCTAAAAAGTTCTCACAACCTGAACCACTTATTCCATTTACATGAGTATATCCTAAAGAAAGAGTCTAATATAGAGATCAAATTTTACAAACAAGGATGTCTCCCCCACTATTATTTATAATGGTGAAAGATTAGAACAACCTAATATCCAAAGAGAGAAGTAATTAAATTATGGCATATTCATACAATAGAATACTAGACAGCCACTTTTAAAAGTCGCATTTTCAAAGACATGGGTAAATATTTACGAAGTAAGGTTATAAAAAACAGGGTACATAACTATATGGTCAGTATAATCTCAAGTTTGTTATTACACACACACACAAACACATGTACACACACTCATACATAGAAATAGCATAGACAACGACTGAAAAGAAATACAGAAAAATATTGACAGGGTTATCTCTGGGTCGTGAGACTGCAGATAATTTTTTCTCTTTTTTATAACTTTTCAGTATTTTTCAAATTGTCTATAATAATCACGTATTAGTCTTATACTCAGAAAACATTTTAAAAATTCACTGTTGTCAATTTTAAAATTTTTATAGTTCATATTAAACAGGAAATAAATATTAATGTACTCAAAAGTGTATCTAAAGTATGGAAAATAAATCACTAATGGGTAAAAGTATAATTTCCACACATACATAGGTAGATGACTTTGAATCTAAAAGGGTAACATTATTTTATCTCACTCAAGTATAGAAAGTTGATATTTAATAAATAAAAAACATAAATCTTTAAATAAAATTGGTGCAAGGCATCTAAAAATTGTGCTACTCGGGCATAACACTGAAGATATAAACACTCTCACCAATATAATGTAGACACTCAGTGTTAAGTTAAAATAAGTATAATGCAGTACATACATGGTGACTGAATTATTAACTGAATTATATCTTTTTTTTTGGGCCAAAGTGACTAGACCGGTCTACGCTAAAGAAACAAATACAACACCATACCATTATTTTAGTTGGAAGAGCCGCACCAAAAATCATGACAAAAAAATTGTGTAACTATAAGAAAATCCAGTGACTTATTGATGACGTTAATGATCTCTTGCTAAAAATTCAAGTAAAAGAGTCAAACTGCTTAAAGCACTAAAAAAGCACACAGCAGTGTATGGTCTGCAATGATATGAAAAACACTTAAGAACACTCTTCAATGTTTCCTCATTTGCAGACTATCAAACGTGATCTTTGAAGTCAAGGATTACATCTAAGTTCTTTTACCAATCTTGAATATATATTGTTACAATACAGTAATGACACAAAGGGATGTCACACACAAATAGGCAAACTGCATGTAATTTAAAAAGTTAACTTTAAGATTATATGATTCTAATTTCTGATTTTAAAAAAATCATATAAATATATAAAATATAAAATACATCCTAATATATTTTTACATAGAGCTGAGGTTTACCATTTTAAACAAAAATTCTGAGATGGAATTAATAAAAAACAATTTTCATATATACCACAGAGCAATAAGTTTAAATCAGACTATTTTGAGTTGTGTAGCCCTTTATTAGCAACTAAAATAGAAGGTATCTGTTGTACAACATGGGTAGTAATTGACTATAACTGGAGATTTATTATATTCTAATACAGATCATTTATAAATGCAATTTCTTTATTAAAAAGCTTCCACCTTTTTTGTTTGTTTGTGTACAATTTGCAAAACTATTCTGAAAGCGGAATATATGTGCACAAGTCTGCAAAGAGTGCAAATTTAGGATATGGTAAATGCTTTACAAGTTACTTTCAAAAAACTGTCTGTCACAACTGAGCCTTTACATTGTCATCTTTTTTGATCAAAATACTTTGATGCCAGCCTTCCTTACACTGCCCTAAACTATAAAGCATTTTTAAATGAGTTGAAATTAAGGAAGGACTACACCTACTGGAAAAAAAGAGAAGAAAGTTCTATTAGTTTGAGGTTTCAGAATCCCCCCAAACCCGGACCAGTATCTTGGTAAAGGCTAGGCTGGGACCCCCGACAGAGTATGAGAATGTGCAGGTGGCATCCCTGAGGATTCAGAGCTTCAGTGGACCGTGAGTGCTCCAGCTGCATAACTCACTGAACTGTCTTGCCAGTTTCTACACTGGCTTGACTGGGCATAATTCAAAAAGGAAAAGCTCATATTCATTCCATTCTTCTGGAGCTCTGTGATAGCCTAGAAAAAGAAAAATTTGGTTAGACACACACCACATAAAAAAGTGGGCATTCAATATGTTCCCAGTTTGACATTGTCCACTTCATAGCTGAAGCCTAGATTCTTCTTTTGCTCTTTTGTTTCTTGAATTTCTCTTGTTGCATCATATTAAAATAGAAAAAAAGAATTCCTAATATCATTCTCTCAAATAACTTCTAATCTTGTTTCTTGATAATTAAGTATCAGTTATTATATACCCTTCCTCTCCCTGTAATAATGCCACTTTTTAAACCCTTTTGAACTTTTTAAATATATTTCTCTTTACTGTATAAACCAAATCCCTGGCCACTTCTGTCTGAAGATGTCAGTCTTTGTCTGACTTTGACTATATTTGAAATGTATATAAATTAAAATCCAGATATAAAAGGTATATGCTAGGATTTTTACTTTAATTGTAGATTGCTTCAGCATTTACTTTATAATAAAAATATTATTTGATTCAATTCAGATTTTAGAAAATTAGTATAATTCTAGCTTCAATTTCAAAAATTAGTTTAAGCTCTTGAAAAGCTTTTCTTTGAGCCAATTAATACAGCTTAAAAGAAAAATGCTTCCTAAAAATCATAATATATTACCTTTCAAATCACATTAAAATAACACTGGAGTTAGGGTCCTACCCTAGCCTATTCCGGACTACATTATCTTCTCCATTATTTCCCTGCTTCTCCAAATGAGCCCACTGTTACTTTCTCCTCCCATTCCTGAGTTACTTTCTCCTCCCATTCACTTTCTTCTTTCCTAACGAATGTCATATTTTCATTCAGTATATTAATACTGTTTTACTAATTAGAAAAAAAAAAACAAAACACATCATCTGTCTTGCTTTATTACATTATGAACACCTGAAGAGTAACAGCAGAATCTTCCATTTATTTTTTATAGAGTCTAGACCACTAACTAAAACCAAAAAATTAATTAAGGTCACTTTAGTTTTTATTTATAAAGAGCATATTGGAACTAAGAATCAAGAGAAAATAAGGGTCTCTATTCTAAATAACTTTCTGTATTTAACAGAAAGTATTAAACTGTATTCCAATGATAAATAACTTTATTCAAGTAAGCAAAGGCAATGAAACTCCAAATTATGCTAAAGATACTAAAAAGAAACTTGACCACAGGTACATAAAACCAGTGATGCCACTGTATTACAATAATGAGATATTTTGTAATACCACATGACCAAATATTAAGTCAAGGCTTTCCTAAGGATACTTACATTTAATAACACCCCAATGGGATGTCTTCCACATATAGTATTATGGTATTTCTTCAAGTAATTGCTAAAAGATACAGGGTCTAATTGTTCTATGATACTCATACCCTAAAAAAACAACAAAGAAGAAGAGGGGGAAAAAATAAAAGAAAAAGGACAATATTTATTATTTCCTAATCATATTTTAAAACTGTTACTTAAACATAATTCTTCATTAGGGAGACACAAAGAAAACAGATTAAATAAACCTTGTGAAACATCAGGCTCATTCATCAAAGATAATACCATTATAATTAACTCTATTAACAGAAAGCTTTTAATCCCCAGCTTATTTTCTCCAACCTCCAGGTATGTTTCTATACTACTTTAACCAGTTGTCATTTATCTCATAATCCTCAAACATTTTATAATATTTTAACTTCCTCACAGAAAGAATACACAAAAGTAAGTCTACTCTGAAAATCTGCATATGGAACCTAAAATTTAACTTATGGCTCTTTTCTCCATATCTATTATATTTTTCCTGCTTTTGGCATGAAAAATCAAGAGTTAATTGTAATTGAACTATTTCCATAACATATACTTCAATATCAACAGTGTAAGGTATTTTAAATTACCAGCATTAAATAATCTAGGTATGTGAAAAAAAAAAAACACAAACTAAGAAAATAGTTAACATCTTTTAATTAATTTAAAGCTCATGATAAAAGCAGGTTTAAGCAACACAGATCTCTCTGTTTTTTCTTTTTGAGATGGAGTCTCACTCTCATCCAGGCTGGAGTGCAGTGGTATGATCTCAGCTCACTGCAACCTCCGCCTCCTGGGTTCAGGCGATTCTCCTGCCTCAGCCCCCGGAGTAGCTGGGATTACAGGCACGCACCACCACACCCAGCTAATTTTTGTATTTTTAGTAGAGACCAAGTTTCACCATGTTGGTCAGGCTGGTCTTAAACTTCTGACCTTTAAGTGATCTGCCCGATTTGGCCTCCCAAAGTGCTGGGATTACAGGTGTAAGTCACCGAGCCCAGCTTACAACACTGATCTATACGAACAAGATTAATAATAAAGGAAAGATTTTCATCTCTTTGTTCTTTAAACTAGAATGCCTTGTTTTCAAGATCTTAATACAGAATAAAACTTGTTAGACTACTGTCAAAACAACCACTATGACTTGAACAGTAGTTTACACTAAATTCTACAATCTCCAAATACATTAAATAATGTATTTATAACTTTATAGAGCAAATCACCAAGTCAGGGAAATAAAGCATTGATTCAAGCTAATTCATTCACCAATTATATTATTTTCTTATTCAGTTAAAATATTTTCTATTTAATAAATTGGATTCATAACCTCTGGGAGAAATGTAAATGATGGTTTAACTAGGGACTTAACTGGTTATTCTATTGTTTTTTGTTTTTATTTCACATTTTAACAAAACAGTGTAAAAGCACCAAGAGTAATCAGATAAACATCGTTTAAAAAAACTTATCTAAAAAAATGATAGTAACCAGTAGGTGACAGAAATTTTACAGTGGCAGCATCAAAATTTAATTCTACAAAAAAAAAAAAAAAAANAAAAAAAAAAAAAAAAAAAACCTTTTCTTCAGAATCCAAGTCCTTCACAAACATTATCAATATTCCACATATGTGTGTAAATATACACAACTGAAACATAGACATACACATGTACAATCAACTTTGAATTGCTTGCACATGAATTAGCCACTCTCAGATTGGTCCACAACCAGTTTGTAATGCTAAGTTGGTTGTCCCTTGCCAACCAGGGGGCTTCCAGGTCAACACTCTCCACTGACACTTGGAATATAAGCTCAGAGAAATACTAACTTAAAAGTTAAACCTAAGATAGGCCAGGCAGTGTGGCTCATGCCTGTACTCCCAGCACTTTGGGAGGCCGAGGCAGGTGGATCACCTGAGCTTAGGAGTTGAGACCAGCCTGGCCAACATGGTGAAACCACGTCTCTACTAAAAATACAAAAATTAGCCAGCCGTAGTGGCACACGCCTGTAATCCCAGCTACTTGGGAGACAGGAGAATCACTTGAATCTGGGAAGTGGGGGTTATAGTGAGCCGAGATTGCGCCACTGCACTCCAGCCTGGGCAACAGAGCAAGACTCTGTCTCAAAAAAACAACAAGCAAAAAAAAGTTAAACCTAAGATTAAATAATATCATAATTCTGATGCCAAAAACATCACAGTATATTTCTAATCCAAGAATGGATTATAGTAATGCAGAGATGGAATTCTAAATCTCTTCCATAAATAATGGATGATCAAGATATAACTCCCTAGAGATAAATGAATGGACGCACAAAAAGGCATAGTCCTGGCTCTAAATTTCTCTTTTTCATTGACTACTGTGATTTATTAAAATATAACAAGAGTCATACTACCAATTCTTTGAACACTCACATAGCTACAACTTGCATACATATAGTAAGTGAACTTTTAATGCTCCTGAATGAAGTCTATCTAGAACACCTTACCCTAAATATAAATCAACTCATTAATAAATAACATGACACTGAGATTTTAATGTACATTTTAATATTAAAATCTCAAAGCACATTCAGAACAAACATCATATTTATATACTGATATGAATTTAAACAGAAGAAAACTAATGATCACATTTCAGAAGACAAAGAATTCAAACTAACTGGGCAAGAAATCCTAATATAGAAAAACAGGAGATTATAAATGCAGAGAAGATACTACTAAGTAAAGAGTTCAAAATGAAGATATGCTGCTTAAATTACAACAGAGAAAATTTAAAAATTGAGATGATGGGAGTTAGGAAGTTAAATATGCAATAATTTTAATTCTTGCATATATGTGTGATATAAACTTACTAGTGCAAAAATTAATTCAATTATACTCAATTGGCTGACACAAGTGATATTTTAAGAGGTATGCCTCTTTATAAGAAAATACAAAGGGGAAAATTAAGGCTTTTCTCATAGGTGAACCTCTCTTATTGAAAAATTCATTAAGTATGCAAACAAAAACAATAATGATAAAATTTAGAAATGGAACATTATTAACTAATACAAAATACTGGCAAACACACTTTTAGATATACCTATGTTTTTAGGTTAACAACTATGAGATTACTATTAGGAAAATTCTAAAGAGACAGAAATGCTAGTTCAATGCTGTTGGCAAAAGTCCAAGAAGGTGAAAAAGAATGTCCTTCCCAATTACGCTGAATTACCTTTTTTATTTATTAAAACGGTAGAAGATATGATCAGTGACTCTAAAGTCCAGGCAATGAGAACTTCCTAAGGCATAGTATAGTGAAAATTTGATTGTTCACATAAACTTAATGTGGAGAAGTAGAATGGGTCACTATACTACCCATTCAGCTCTAAGATATAAGGCAGACATAAATACCAAAAGCCTATCCATCAAGGATTATGGGTTTCTAAATTTAAGTTTCAGCAAGAAATACGCACACTGAAAGCTAGCTCCCTAAATTTAGGGGGTGAACCAATCTATCATTGTGTTGACTCTTCAAGTAATCAGTGAATATTGTGTCAAATTCCAAGTGTCAACCCTAAACTAAATAGGCAGTATTAACTGACAAAGCTCAAATTCAGGACTCTGATAAGACAACAAATATGTTCTCTTTTTTAAAAAAGTTTATATTTAATAAAATGGCAATCTAAAAATTATCACCCGGAAGTAAATCTCTCCCAAAAATAACAAACGCAAAGGAGTAGCAAAACATTTTAGAGACACTCATGAAATAAAAACCAGAATCACATCTTTTAATTCCAACATACTTAACACGATATTATTGAATCAATAGAATTCTGGTCTCATTTTTTAAAGGATATACATTTATATTTGCAATGAGTACACATTTAGTGAGGTGGAGTAGGAAAAGGAAATATTCTAGTTTCTTTAAGAGGCATCAACATAAAATCCTAACGGTGAAAGTTCTATAGAAAAAGCTCACCTTAAAAATAGTAGTGCTAAGTAATATACTAATAAATGGCTATCTTACAGAAAATGTAATAAAACCTACGAAGAAGCTGCTGGCTTAGGTTCAAGAGAAAGAAGTATGAGTTGACAAAAGGAACAATTTTCACTTTTAAAATAGTAGGAAGGAAGAAAAGTAGTTCATGTTCAAATTAAGTGACGTAATTGACAAATTTAAAAGAAAAAGAAGTTATAACAGATGAATACAATGACATTTTCAGATTATCCTTGCCAAATCATAATTTACCAATATCCATAATGAAACACTGGTCTACACCAAAAAAAGTAGTATAATAAAAATGATAACCTATGACCACCTCATATATATATACATAAAATATGAATAACTATGGTTGTTATTTCAAGTAAAATTCACAAGATCAATATCTCCAAATAGGTTCCACTTTAGTCATAGTAATTATTGACATTGCAAAGTATTAATTACCCAAAAAACTGGTCTATAGCCAATAAAATTATAAGATTTTCAGAGTTTAGATATCCTATGCTACAGTTACATAATTTTTCCCAACTATATTTGATAGTTTGTTCTCCTATATTTTATGTTTTTTTTCACATAATTTCTAAGATATTCAAGTGCTAGAAATATAAACATTTTGCAATAAGAAGAACAGCTATTTTTCTTTGGCAACTTAGAAATGGTTTTATTTTCCAGCATTGTAATAACTATATTTAGTAATAGTTTTCTGTTAAAAAAGGATCAAAACTTAATTAACATGCTAATTTTGAAGAGATATAATCTAAAATTTTATGCTTAGTTTCTTTTTACTCTACCAAACTTTCAAAATGTACACTTATTAATTGTAACATTTGAATCGAAATGTTACAATTCAAAATTCTTAGTGTTTTTCTAATGGTTCTTTGGAGAGCCATCCAAGTACATTTTGGCTGAAAATATCACATATGAAAACCAAGATAATGGTTTTTAAATGAATTAAATTATTTATAATATAATCTATTAGAAAAGAAATATGCAAAAGTATATTCACCATCTGATTATATACATCAATTAAGACAATACATTATTGAAGTCTGACTAACGACTTCAATATATACATAAAGGTAACACAAACACACCTAAGTT